CTTCCAATACTTTCTTGTTCTATAAATTAATTTAGATTTGCGTCAAGTTTTAAACTATTAGTGAAACTGTTGTGTATTTAATAGCTAGGTGCTTAGATCTATTACTTTAAACCTATTGAATTTGTTTCGCATTTAATTAATCCATCACATTTAAATGCTAATTATATTCACATACCTTTTATTTCTCAAATAAATACGTAACTTAAATTAAATAATTTAATACACTTAAATTAAAAGGATCATGGTTTAGGAGATACTTTCTATATTAGTCTGACTTCTTATATATTTATTTATTCTCAATTTTACCACGCACTTTCATACGCAATCGTGACATGGCTAGTATTCGCTATACACTTTCTACTCTATACACTCTCAAAATCGACCTTCTGAAAGCCTTCACATATATAAACAATAATTTAGATGAACATATCCGAAGGCTCGAAGAGGTCGTTCAAAACACAGAAGGTTGAAGAACAATAGGCAACACTGCAGAAACTTCCAACAGTCCATCCGCGAAAGCAAAAACACAATCCCCACTACCAATCAAGACTGAAAACAGATTTTCTGTTTTAGATGGAGTTTCCTTGCCTTCCCAGTCCTCACTACCCCCTCCCATTATCGACACGTCCACTCACAAACCAACGCAAACAGGCTAAAGTAAGCACAATGAAACAAAAACACGCAGAGTTGCTCACACATAATACAGAACTGGCCCACAAATAAATAAGAACATTCCCACTGATCCCATCAAAAAGGTACTGATTTCAGCAGATAGCCATGGGTGACAAATCGTCTCCCTACTCAGTGGGAAACTCCCATCCAATTTCGCACGTGTGTTTAAACTTAACTGGAGGTTTGCTGACGTGACCAGTGAGTTGAACACCCAAGCGGAATATCACCAAATGATATCATCTAAGCGACACACATGTTAAAATATTTCCGCTAAACTTTCTCTCAATAAAACACTTCATGGTCTATTTCTAAACGTTGTCGGAAAAGATGCACTCGGTAGCGAGCTTGCAAAACACATCCTTTCACAACAGTGTCCTGCCCAACACCCATCCCCACCCACATCTCCTAGTTCTCTTCCATCCTCCGGGACCTCTTTGGACCGAATTACCCCGTGAACCTAATCCTTGTACTACCTCTCCCATTATTCATTTATATACATTTGTCACTGCTGGGGCACGATACTTCCTTCGACCACACACTCGAGGTAAACATGAGATAAGTAAATAGCAACTACAGTTAATACAGCGGAGAAACATCTGTGTAAATACATGCAAAAATTCAAATAATGCATCATAATGTGCAATCTCTTTCAAATAAAATTTATTTTATCGAGGCAGCATTACAGTGTGATCCAAGGCAAATAGAGGTTTTTTGCTTTACAGAACATTGGTTGATTCATACTGATCTAAGCACACTCCAAATTCCTAGTTTTTATCTTGCAGGATCGTATTGTTGAGTAAATGTGGAGATTTCTATATTGATTTTTTGAGTGAATCCCACGAAAAAGAGCAGTTTTAATTTACTGCATTCTTTTAATCTAGATATTACAGTGAATGTACCTACACAGAATACATTTGAATCACAAAAAGCAATAGATGAAATTATAATTTCAAAAACCATTACTAGATATGAAATAAAAACTACTAACTACTAAGACAGAACTCACGAAGGGACTAAAAACACAAAATTCAACTTCATTCCCTTCCCTAACAATTTTCAACTCGATGTTTATTCCCGAAACTACTTCTAACAAAATCCTGAGAAGAGTCTGTAAACTAAAAAATAAATATTAATCTGGTTTAGATGAATTTCCGGATTGTTTATTGAAAACTTGTGTGCCTGCCTTTATACACCGGATACCTCCCATTTTCAATGTTTCTTCATGCTCAGGAATATTTCCAGATATTTTCAAAACATCAAAAATTAAGCCACTTTTTAAAAAAGGGAACAAAAATGAAATTAAAAATTACCGGCCAATTTCTCTTCTGTCATTTTTCTTAAAATTATTAGAGAGGCTTTTTTTACATGCGAATGGAAGATTTTCTCAGGAAAAACGAAGCTTTTTCAGACTTACAACAAGGGTTTAGAAAATCCAGAACAACGGAAACAGCTACTTTTTTCTTAAAGATGATGCTTCATTAATGGACTAAAATGAAGCACTCGTTGGAATATTTTTAGATCTTTTGAAAGTTTTTGACGTTATTGACCATAACATCTTGATATCAAAATTATCTTCTTATGAAATTCGTGGTATCGCCCCTGATTGGATAACCTCGTACCTTAAATATCTATCTCAAAGAGTAGAAATACCAGACTGGCACGAAATAACATTATTTACGTATCTTTCCAATTATTTACCAATTAAATATGGGATCCCGCAAGATTCAGTCGTAGGTCTTATCCTCTTTCTGTTATAAGTAAACGATATGCCCTCATGTATTAAAAACTGAAGAACGGTTCTATTTTGCCGAAGACACAAATATTATTTGCAAGAAAGAAACAATAAATAGTACGATTTCAGAAGTTTCAAATTGGTTTTGTAATAACAGTTAATAGTTAACGAAGAAAAAACAGTTTCCATACATTTTGTTGTTTCAAATCAGTAATCGTAATCTCCAATGAAAATGAACAATATGCAATTAGCTGTGGTTAAGGTAAAAAATGTCTAGGTCTCTCAATTCAAACTTCAAATGGAATGTACATGTAACTGAATTATATATAACAGAACCCTATATTAAGTTAATTATGTTAATCAATAAGAATTCTTTCAAATTCGGTCAGCCTTCATGCAGCTCGTTGCATTTATTTTGCAAATGTGCATTCCCGCCTGAGGTATGGCATAGTATTCTGGGGAAGCTCATAATGTAGTACCCAGATCATTATATTGGGAAAAAAAAAAAAAAAAAAATCCGAATAATAAAAAAATACCATCCGCGTGATTCCTGCAAGCTTCTGTTCATTAAGCTTGAAATCTTATACCATTACCTTGTCTATTTATTTACGAACCTGTAATATTTGTCAAAAATGATTTTGATTAACGGTGGAAACATATTTTTATGCAATACTGATATTTATAATTACATCACACGTCGTAGAAATGACGTTCATCATGTGTCAGTATCAACAACTCACTACCAAAAATCCACATACCATATACTCGCGCAAGGTTTCTTGATATACGAGCACCCTAGTCCTCAACCAGCGCTGATTAGCACTGCACGTTGAGATACTTAGGTTTGACTTGCAATGGCACGTACCAATTTACAATGTTGGCAACATCCACCACGTACTTTCAAAACTATCGTAGAAAATGTCGTGGCACGCTTTGGTGCGGTATGTTCACGCCCACAGTTGGTACGCTCTTTTGAGCCGTGCCGTAGCCAGAGCTCACATCTCCACGCACTCCTCGCTGTGGAATATCAAGAAAACTTGCGCGTGTAATACATGTATATGTATGAACCATTCACGAAAACTACTTAAATTTTCAAAAAATACAGAACCTTAATGAAAGAACTCACTGTGGAGGACAATTTTTATTTGAAGGAAAAACCTCTATCTTGAATTTTGTAGCTGTAGGAAGACACTGAAGAAAATTCATACTTTTGAAATTTTCGAAAATTCAAAGTTAACCGAGAACATCGGACCTATGCCACGTTTATAAGTAAATGTTACTCTACTCTTGCAAGAAATGTAGAGAAAAAGTGTAGACGTCTTTGAGAAAATTTTGAAAATTTTAATTTTGATTTTTGATGTCCGGGAGGTTTTGCGTAAAGCATCCCCTAAATTTTAGAGATTTTTTTTCTAAACCACAAAGACCCAACTCGATCCCAATGGACAGGGGTTTCTTCAATTCAGAAAAAAATCCTACGCATGGTTTAGGCTCTAGCAGTGTTCACGGACACCAGAAGGACAGACGGACGCTTTGAAGAAAAAAAAACAAACACGTTTTCGGTATCACTGTACCCCAAAATGTGTTTTTTTGTTGAAATATCGAAATCAGTTTTCTGTAGCATTACGTAACTTTCCCTATATTACGTATATTACTCCGTATATAGATACGTATAAGGGAAAGTAAAACTCGTTTCTTGCTGTAAAGGTGTGTGGGTGATAGGACGAGGGCGAAGAAATATTTCCAAAATTTTATATCCATGTTAGATTTTATAGTGTAACTACTCATATGCCATTTAATTCAAGGCAACTTTTTTCCATCTTATGCGGGGACCCTTTGCCCCCCCCCCCTCAATAAAAGATCCAGGATTCGGCCTTTGGGGTAGGTGAGCGTGAGCAGGCAGACACTTAAGGCCGTGAGTTCAAAATTCAGGTAAGACATGAATGATTTCAATTGTGTTTAAGGCGTGGGTGGTATTACAATCCCTTAATTATTACATTTATACCACAATCCTTCTGCAATATCTTGACCTGACAGATATTTGTGAGCATCATGTATCTTCGAGGACGTTAGTAGTGTGTCCTCTGGCCGCGTTATGGGCGCTGCGCAAGGTTAGCGCGGTGACGGTTACTGCATCAGAGCCTGCAGTCACTTATAGTAATCCCCAAATAGTATTTAAAATATAAATTTTCCGCATTTGTATTGCATTAATCTTTACCAAACTTTGCAAGGACACTGCGACAATCCTGAAGAAGAACCTGTAAGCATTTTGTATTTATCCATACCCTACTTTCGATGTCGGTTACATGTTGATACAGTCAGATTTATTAGTAAAGATTTTCAAGGTGGGAATCGTGGTCTTTGAAACCGCCTGCGGGAGGCGGGGGCCCCCTCTAGTTCCGCCTCCGAGCGAAGCGGGCGTCCGGCGTGGTGCCTCGCGGCTTCTAGAGGCCGCGGCGGTCGGCGTGACGTGACGTGACGTGACGTGTCGTAACGTAATGCGAAGAGCGTGGTCGCGCCGCTCGCGTCCGCCCGGATGCGGTGGCAGCTTAAGAGCTGCACCGGGGGCTCGCTCGCCCTCAGTCGCCCACGTCCGCCCTCCGCGACACTTCGCCGCTCGGGATGGCTTCCGCCGCCGCCTCCGTCGCAGCGCTGTTGCTCGTCGCTGCAGCTCAGGCAATCATGTTACGACCCGCAGCCGCTGCCGCCGCCACCGTGAGTATTGCGCTGCCTTCCTCCGTATTTGAGTCACATAAGTCAAACAAATTATTTTGTTTACTTACTTCCCTATGAACACAGTAAAGTTGAAGTATTGTAGTACTGCGGCAAAAATAAGCGATTTTGATACAGAAAAATGCATTTTGTGGTGCTTCGGTATCGAAAAGTTAATAAATCTTGTTGTTTCATGTAGTTGCACGTTGTGTAGTCAGAATCCACGTTTTGTGAGTCCTTGATACGGAAATAGGCTACCGAAAAAGTCTGTTCGTTCTTCTGTCCGTTCTTTGATGGGTAATGCTACAGGCTAAACTGTTTAGTCGATTTTCACCAAATCTGATAATCGCTGATCGAAGGCACTGCGAGTTTGAATCGGTTTTTTCTATTTTGAGGTACTTTTCATGAAGACTCAATTTCAATTTTCATTTTCAATTTTTTGTTAAAATGGCTCCAAGTTTTTAAAATAAACTTCGTTCTTGGATAGCACAAAGAACGTGTAAAAAAATTCGCAAATCTTATTTTTGTTGAAATCCCTGAATTTTCAAAGAATAAAAGTAATAATGCGATAATGTGTGTGCTGTTTCAACCACTAGTTATACTTTTAACGAAAGCGTTATAATTTGTCTTAACGATGATATCGTAAGAGAGGCGAGTGTTCAACCTCGTATTATATTCCCTAACCACTGCACAACCTGTCAACGTTACCATTATTACCATTATGTCATACCTGCTGGTTATTGTTGATATGGAATTGAGTTACTCTAGTTAAGGTGTTCATACTGATAAGCACTGGTTTAGCTCATGTTGATTCTGTGAGTGCTAGGACTTGCTAGAGGCATTGTTTGGTGAAAAAAGGCAAGGCTGACTTTTGTTACCAAAATGAGGTAATTCTGTTGTTCACCAAAATTCTCTTTTTTGCATTTTTGCAAAATTTAGGGAGTCTTTCATAACCACACAAAGGGAAGATATTCAAATCGAGCTTAATCTAACTAAAACACATAGATAATATATACTACCTTTCACATCAAACCGTGTATGGACACAAGAAGATTATTCTTTATCTTATAAAATTCTGGCGAGTGAGATGAGCTTGTTTTAATAGAAATCACCTTAATTAACGTTTCGTGAGAAATGCAGGTCAGATCAATAGCGCATAAGGTTCAACTCTATTAATGCAAATTCCATAATAGTTTCCAGTGTGGTGTTAACCCAAAAAGTTACTTTTTTACTTAATTTCTCTTGATAGTGCTCGCGGGCACAGGGTGTCTGAATGGAGTAAAGATTAACCCTTTGAGATACTAATACCTTGTTTCACTAAGCTCCTCACTCTGCTCCTCATGAGATAGCACGGTTATACTCAAAGCGAGTAGCAAAAGTCATAATGTACTAGTAAATTATCATTGCGTATTTTGGCATTTATTTAAATCATTCGAAATATAGACAGAAATTCTCCTTATTCTCCATAAGGTCCAATAATCTTGGTTATATAATGATAATAATAGTAATAATAATAATAATAATAATAATAATAATAATAATAATAATAATAATGTCTTTATTAATGGCGAGGCTCAGACCATAGGGCACACAATTACGAAATTATTCGAAGAACGTTACAAACAGCTACGTTTGGTTTACATTAGCACTTTACATAAATATAAAATAATTTTAACACCAGAGAAGCACAATACACTTTAAGTTAGTAACAACAGTAATTTAAAATACAATATCGATAGTATTAAGGAACAATATAAAGTGTGCTGGGATCTTAACATCAATTTTGTTTATGTCTTTGTATACAGTAATAAAGATTATAATGATGGTGCAACGATAGCTACAAGTATATTTTATCTGGAAAGTCGCTAATAATTTTTGTAAATTTTACTAACTAATTTCATTAGGAATCACAGAAAAATAATAAAGTTAATAATTTAGATGGTGTTGGAGGGAACGCAAAATGAGGATACAATAATTAGGAATGGGATATCATTTTGAAAACAGAGAGTGGGGAAAGCACGGTGTTTAGCGGGGGCGGTGACCGGGCGCTTGGAAGTGGGAAAAGTCTGGAGATTGAAGAAGACGTTACCGCCATTCTATATGTCGTCATTCCTTACCCATGAGGTTAATTCATTTTTGAATTTAAGGAAATTATTTGAGTGTTTTAGACTCGCTTGTAACTTATTCTAGTCTCGGGTAGCTGTAATGGTGAATGATTTACTGAACGAAGTCGTGTTGTGACGTGGTACACACAGCTGAAACACGAGCTCGATTTAGTTTCAGAGGATTAAAGTCATTTATGAGATATGTTGCATGAGAACCGGTTAAAACTTTATAAAGAAGAAGTAGAGAGTGGAGTAACCTTCTTTTGTCTAGAGTAAACATTCGAATTCTGTCAAAAGATCCCATATGCGGTCGTACTATTATCTTAGATCAAAAATAAACCGTACGCATGCGTTCTGTTTCAAGTTTACGCTGAAATTTGAATGTCATGTTGGTCCAAAGAAAGTCGCAATAGTCGAAATGTGGCGTAATAAGTGATTTGCTGAGAGTCTGACGTGTGTTACTTGGTAAAAGTGTTCGCAGGCGTTTCAGTGAAAGCATTGAGGCAAAAACTTAACGGCAGGTTGAATCTACTTGCGAGTTCCAGCTTAGAGTGTTGTCAATAAATACACCTAAGTTCTTGACTTTGGAACACCAAGGTAGAACGGTGTCATTTATGTAAGTATTAAGCAGAACAGAAGACGAGACTTTATTCATAGTGCTTTTCGAGCTGATGATGCGCTGTGATTTATTTGGGTTTAATTGTAAGCGTAAAGACGCTGCCCAGTTGTTTACCGTTAATAAATCTTCGTGAACTTTTTGCACGAGTAAGAAGAGATGAGACGGGTGACCACTGAGGTATGTCTGGAGATCATCCGCACACATTTGGTGAATGCAGTAGTTAAGTGCATTTCCTGGTGGAAATCAGCCCGACGACCGGCCCTACGTATAGAAGTGGAGACAGGGACCGCATGGGAGAGGGACCACATGGACCGAGATTGATGGCTATGATTCCGCTCTTGCAACTGTCTGGATTCGATCCGACCTTCAAGAAGCGACAGTGTTTAATTCAACGCCTTCTTTTGTGTACTGTACTCGCACGGGGGAGGGAGTTCAGTATGTTCGAAACAAGCGGAAAATTCGCTTGCATTTGGAAATGCTCGAAAGAAAGACTTCATAAAAATCGAAACATTACTAATTTAAAACAACGGAGTCATTGGACTTGTCGTCAAAAATTACTGTCTGCTTGACACTTGAGAAACTTGACTCTTGAGGACCATTTAGGTGACAAGGACACTTAAAGGAAGCATCTCTACACTAGAATAGCATTAACGTCGACATCTCCAGTTGCAACGTGGTCTGTTCCTGAGCTACCCGTAACGTAGGGACCATGGCGCTAACAATTCATTTGTCTTTGTTAGCCTGACGGTGGATTTTATGATATGATGGACTGTGAGAATCCGCGACAGATCTGCTTCGAGTTTTTCCGTTTGTCCTGCCTTTCCGTCATTTCTCCATCGTAATTCATCCATTATAGACATTACTGGCTCGTCCATTCATTCCAGACCAGACAGGCCAGACTCAGAAGCCCTAGTATAATCTAAAAGTAAAAAAAAACACAATTGTACGTAATGTGATTATGTCTATCATGGAGTTACATTCCATTGTTTTTGTTATCTACGTCTACTTATTTTAAAGTGTAATTATAAACTTTCGTGAGCGCTGAATTAATAATAGTAATAGTAATTATTATTTCTATAATGTTAATAATAACTATTATTGTTATTATTGCTACTTTTGCTTCTATGAAAAACTTGAAATCGCAAACAAAAAATTTAGTCAGTGAGTCAATCTAATCTTATCTTTTGTACTAGAGTGGATAATAAATTCTTATGTCGAAAGTATATAATGAAGATAATAATATGTGTATAATGGAAATAATTATATATGTGTGAAACAGCGAAATTTTCTGAATGGCAAACGTTACTGTTTGCACTCGTTGTTAATTCAGAATTAAAATAAATATGACTGAGTGATTCATAATACAGTGTATCTTAGAAATACGTTCAAAATTAGAACATAATTATTTGTGTTGAATGTGCAGATATCCAGCATCTCTTCATCCAGTAACGGAAGCAACTTAGAGTTCAAGGAAGGACCGGAGCAGTATGTCTTCGAGCCGTTACGTAAGTTGTGCTTCTTCGAGGCAAAGTGGTTTACATTTTATTATGTAGGTTAACGCATAAATGTCATGTGAATCTGCAGGAGTGCACTGAAGAGAGAATACATTTTATTGTCTTAAACTTCCAAAAATAGTGTGGCATATTATTTTGGGAGTAGGAAAAGTTGAGCCACGAAGCCGATAGACTGAGGAAAATTAAATCATGAGGAAAATAAAATAATTTTTATCACATGTGTCATACAAATAATTTTTAGACATCCTTACTGTCTTTCATTTTATTTTTAGGCGAGTATACAATTCACTTAATGATACATTTAAGTTCAGCAATAGCTGATGTGCTTAGACGAAATATTATTTCGCTTTTCCTTGTTGTGTTCACAGATTTATCTGAATACTTGAGTATCATCTCACTTTTAGCTCGCTAAGCATCCCCCGAAGAAACTACTTTCACTGTGTAAAAGTAATATTTTAAAAGCATTTTATGTGACGCGAGTTTATTCATGACGATGTTTGGATTTCTTCTAGTTTTCCATTTATTTTAAAATTTAGTACATCAGAAATGTCAATTCGTAAAACTTATAAACATTTATGTTATTTCATTTCTTATATTACTTAAAATATAATTTTAATTTTTGAAATGAATAAATACTAGTAAACTTCTATCTTTTCTATGTTTCATCGTTGTCTACAATGCTGCATAATCATATTTGTCATTAACTATTGAGTTTTAACTAAGGAAAACGGGTTTAGAGAATTTATTAAATTGCATTAAATTATTTACAAAGATAATATTTTAAATAAAACAATAATATTCTGTGAATATTATTAACCTGACATACACTTGATACCTAACGATAACTTATCCTGTGACGAAGAGAAAACAATAGTATCTTACTTAAAATCCAAGTAATAAAAGTATCTTATTAATAGTATATTTTAGAAGGGATCATCAGAAGATCATGACGTAAATACCACAGTCGGAAATATCTAAGCCGAATCTTCCGGTCAACAAGATGCTGCTATTTCAGGACGTGGCGTTGGAGTTATCACTGAGGTTTCCGACTATGCCGTAAGACGTCACGAAACTTCCCTGGCCTATTTTTCCGGAACGTTTCTTCAAACGTTTGACATTTTAAATAATTCAATAAAAAAATAAAATCAAGAGAACATTTTTTTATTCTTGTGCATACAGTTGTATTTATATTAACAGCCATAGCATATTTATTTACATAGTATCATTTAATACATATATAATGATTCAACATGACTTTTAAAGAGAAAGGATTTCAAAGTGCTGCGTCAACTTATTTGTGAATTGTCTACTCATCTTTCTCATTTACATCAGGATTCCATTTAAAGCATAAGAAAGGCCACAGAAAAAAAGATGAACCAAAAAGAAATCGTGAAATACAAACTATGACAAAAGCTACTTTCATGTGGAAAAGGATATTTCCTATAAGGATGAATGTCTACCAAAATGATTTTAGGTGGAAGTTAAAAGAGAACATGAGTGTATGACAATTAAATTCCTTTCAGTTGATTTCAGCGCAAATGAATCTAATAAGTTTATTTTTTCTGGAGAATATTGATGGATTTCAAAGCAAGAAAAAATATTTTCCAAACGTTCTATTTTTAAAATTTGGTGGTCTACACATACCTTTTTTGTGTGGCAGTGAGCAGCTCGTGGGCGCGAGACCGGAAATTTCTGCGCCAACTGCAGGAGGCGCTGTGCCGCCCGCGCCCCATCCTCGTCTCTGTGACTCCGCCCAACGCTGAGGACGGCGCGAAGGTACGGAATCAGGCAACCGAAGAAGTGGGTGGAAGGACGACTTGGCTTCATCTGCGTTAAGCCGTTTTTCCTCTCCTTCCATGATGATCTGCATTATACGTCCATGTGTGTGAATAACTTAACAATAAGTTCAAATAAACTACACAACACGAAAGAAAGCTGAGTACAAGAATTTGCGCAGAAGCCGTTTGTCCATTGAACAGTACCTGAGTATCTTTAGCCTCTTTGGCTTAAAATAGTCATCGGGGAATCAATGCTTAGGTGGTTGTTGGCTAACCTTAAGCTGTGGCACCAGGGTTCCCCACGGAACAGGCCTTCCCCACTGACACGGGAAGTGGCCTACGGGTCCTTGTTTTCTGTGTTCTTACTAATTCCCAACTAGCTTTTTTCATTTTAAATTTTTTTACATAACTTGCTTGCAAATGGCACCCGGGCGGGGTAAAGGTGGGAGGTACCTGGGCACTGTCCCTATCCTCCGCCCTCCTCCTTAACATTGCTATTGCGAGTTACCTACATCAGGAGGTTAACAAATCTATAATTTAAAGTTAGGATATGTTGTTTCTCCTCTTCGAGTTTGACGGGGGATCGCTAGTGCGTATCTAATATAATTTACAAAATAGTAGTAATAATGTAGGAATGAAAATAAAAATAAACTAACACATTACGGCGTGGATTTAAGTTACGTGCGGGTGCTAAGTTTTACTATTTACAAAGCTAACTAATCTATAGAAATACAGGATCAAATATAAATCAAGAAAGTATGGGTCGGCCCTAGAACTTACAATTTTGACGAATACCCTACACCAATACCTATTTTACTACGTGTAGCACATACTATCAAAGTGATTTAACAATAAGCAAGATGGATTGTTTATGTAGACTATAATTTAAAGTTTGCTATTTAGTTTTGTAACGAAAAACATTTTCTGAATGGAACTTGCTAATTATTTACAAGGTCCAAGTTAGGTTCTGAGTGTGGGCTTCTCTGTGCAAAGCCACGGCCGCCGCGATGACGGGCCACCGGAAGGGCCCGAGAGGGGTGCGCCGATCGGGCGACGGGATGACTCGGCAAAGCTTTGAGCTGGATGATGGCAAAGCAGCAACGCAGGACCAATTCAGGCGTTGGACGGCACCAGCCGATTTCGGTTGACGGTGAGCCGCCGCCGAGCGGACGCCGTCTTTCGCCCTAAGAGAGGAAGCACAATGTAGAAAGGGCCTAGCTGCGGGCAATGGAGGGCGGTCGCGCGGGCATCGGCGGGGAGCACTAGCTGACCAATGAGAGGAAGTTAGCATGGCAACTGACCAGAACCAATTAGGGGGTGAGGCAGCACCCGCCAGTTTCAGATGATGGCGTTGCAATATCGATCTTCTGCGCATGCGCAGATGCATAAAAGTGATGCGAAACTCGAACTGTCCATGCGCAGAAAATCGATTGTGTAGTTGATTGCTCTATTGTTTAAATAATATTTCTGTCTACTTGACAGCTGGGGGTGAGGTCGTTATTGCATCTGATCACAAAAACAGCAGCAGCAGTAGCAAGAAACGTATCGTAATAAGAGCTCACAACTGAGGACGACACAGAATCGCACAGGCGATTCATAACTAAAGAAGTAATGGCGCTCTTCAATTTTCAGTCTCTTCGCGCTGTTAGAATATTAAGATCGGCAGCTCTGCAGTGACAGCTTCAGAATTTGAAACGTTTGATTGGATATCCGAACCCCCTCGCTCCCAGTTAGCCGCTACCTGTCAAGTAGGCAGAAACATTATTCGGAAAATACCACTTGGCCACACAAGATAGAGAAAGAGAGAGAGAGAAAGAGAGAGAGAGAAAGAGAGAGAAAGAGAGAAAGAGAGAGAGAGAAAGAGAGAGTGAAAGAGAGAGTGAAAGAGAGAGTGAAAGAGAGAGTGAAAAAGAGAGAAAGAGAGAGAGAGTAAGAGAGAGAGAGAAAGGAAAAAAGAAAAAAATATAGCTGCCTAGTGGCGCGTGCTCACGCGCGAGCGCCCTGTCGCAGTTCTCGCCGGACCGCGTGGAGGTGGTGCGGTGCGCGGGCGCGTGCGGGGCGTCGCGCAAGGCGTGCGTGGCCACGGCCGTGGCGACGGCGCGCGTGCCCGTGGTGCTGCTGACGCCCGGCCGCAACACGACGGCGGGCCACGTGCTGGTGCAGCGCCACGAGGCGTGCGCCTGCGCGTGCGCCACGCAGCCCCAGGACTGCTCCGAGCGACAGGTACGGGCGCTCACACGCTCTCGGGCTGTGCTTTGGTAAAACTGGACAAGTTGTATATAACTAGTTATATATGCAGAGCATAAGTGTGTATTCAGAAGTGTGTGTATATACAGTGTGTGTTCCCCTTCTTCGGTATTCCTCTTCCTCTGCCTCTCTCTTTCCCTCCATCTACATCCTTCCGTCCGTTTGATCCTCGTACTGCGTCCCTTTCAATTTGTCCCTCCCATTATGCACCTACTTCCTCTCTGTCAGTCCTTGCTCCGTTCTCCGTTCGCCCATTCACCTTTCCTCCTGTTTCCGGAACTTCATTTTCTCTGCCACTCATCTGTTTCCCTCCCCCTCTCTCCCCCTGTCCCTTCCAGTTGGTCCCTCTCACTCTCTTTTCCCCCCTTCACTCCTTGTTTTGCTTTTCCTTTCACCTACCATCATTTTCCTTTCTTTTCGGCGTTTCTCTTTCTGTCTCTCCTTCCCTCCCCTTCTAACCTTCTATCAAGAACGATCCTAGACCTCTGTCCCTCCCCTTCCAAGGCTGCTCCATGTGTTTCGCTGCGTGCTTCGTCCGCCCGAGAGCGCAGGGGCTGCGAGCGTGCGGTGTGCGCAGGCGTACATCGCCGCCGAGTGCCGGTGCGGCTGCCACCCGCGGCTGCACGCGGAGGAGCGGCGCTGCAACGCGCAGAAGCACTTCGCGTGGGACGACGAGACGTGCCGCTGCGGCTGCCAGCGCCCCGCCGCCTCCTGCCAGCAGGGCCACGTCTGGGTGCCCGACCTCTGCCAGTGAGTACGGGAGCCTCCCTCCCCTTCAGTATCTCTTCTTTTACTCTTGTTCCTGAACGCGCCAACTTTCAAGGTCATTAGTCTCGCACGTGTAGTGCATGTTATGTCCTTGGAGGTTGCTGCCCCCCAGCTAGAACGTGAGATCCGGCGCCGTCCTAAATGCCGGCTTGCGTGAGTTTCCTTCCTCCAAGTATCTCCGCCAGCGGGGATACGCCTCAGTCTTGACAAGCGCTAACGTCCCTTCTGATCTTCCGACGAGTGGTACTTTAGTGAGCGTAAGCGTAGTGTGTGTAAGTAAGGGGTGAATATAGGACGAGGAGGAAGAGGGAATGGTCGCGCGCTTGTTTGTTAGGGTACTACTCCGGCATTTGCCTGGTGTTGATCGGAGAAATCTCGGAAAATTACGGTTCAGAGTAGACAGCCTTCCGACAGCGGTAGAATTTGGCCCCAACTGTCAGCTGGTGTCGAAAACCTTGCCTCCGCCGGGACTCGAACCCAAGGACTTCGCGGTCAGAGGCACTTGCGAAGACATCAGTTGATCTCCTAAGCCACTTTTGCCAGTGCATCGCCAAAGGGGAATTCCCCTTAATCCTGGAGCACTCGCATCAGAGCAGCCGGCCGCTAGAATGTTGCTCCAGACAGCGACTGAAATCGACCTAGCTAATAAGCTAGTGTCGGAAATCCACCACGGTCGGGACGAACCGTAGGGCTTCGCAGTTGTAATCCTGAGCTGAATCACGGTTTTCAGTCGTGAGAGTCAAGTCCAACTGCAACTTTTTCTCTTCATTATCGGTTCCTGACATCAGTTCCATTATCTTCTGTGCAATATTTTAAAACATGTACAGAAATAAAATAAAGGTTTTAAGTAAATAAATTAATTATTAACAAAACAAATGTAACTTATCTATAACAAAGTAATATAGTATATTATATTTATCAACCAACTCTGACTCGCTGGAACGGTCAAAATGAGGACAATTGATTCTTTGATTGGGCAATTAAAATATGTGTTCTTCAAGGTGGAACAACTTGACTACTAGAGACGGACCAAACTTTATTCAGTCTCTCTCGTATCCCGCCCGCGCTGTGAGTCATTTTCGCTGGCCCAAGAAGGGAAAGGGTCTTGGCGGGGCACCTGCGCAACCAAGGCCGAGAGAGACCACTGGCGAAGGAGATTCTCTTGCTCTTCGGGAGGCAACGAGATTCCCGTGTCGTAGGGACGGAGGTTCTCGTAAAGCAGTCCCAGTCAGTCGAGATTCGGAAAGACTCGGGATTGAAATTGCTTAGAGCGTAGACCTAATTCATCGATTTAAATTAAACACAAGAGCTGCTCTCTAGCGCAATAATCAAATGTTTCTTATACATTCATGATATTAATGTATTGCATAACATCGCACACAAAGACAAGTAGCAAATAAATAAAATGAAAAGGGCTGAGATGGATCACAGCAACAACTGCTGCCTAAAGTCATTTATTTTATCATCAATGTTTTATGTTCGGGTGTTTACGTTTTTGATGTTTTGTTTGTAAATGATAACCTCTCGCAATTACAACTTTAGAAAAGTTTGAATATGAGACAATCATTGTTGATTCGATTGAAGGAAACCTTTTCTTAGTGTCCTTAATCGAGCTCTCTCCCAACAGACCTAAGAGATGACCTACCGTTTCTTCGTATTTCGCCGGGCGTAGAACCGCTTCTCCCCGCCACCTCCTCCGGCGCGGCAAACTGATGAAGCTTCGACGCCTCGAGATGATCCGGGGCGTTCAGGCTCTCAGGCCCAGTGCTAGTAATTGTCCAAATATGACATCCTTTTACTTCGTTTCTCAATTAAATCTTAAATACATTAGTAAAATAAACTGTAATTAAAAATGTTATTTTCTAGTTCAGATGACGTGTGTGAAGTATTTGTTTAATCTATTTTGACTACCAACTTTGATAAAATTTGTAATAAACTAAATTATTATTATTAATTGACATTATCATCCCATGTGGGCAAGGGCCTCCTGCTAAGCAGGATAGCTTGTACAAAGCTTCTCGAGGAACCCTTTCCAGGCCTGTATTAATTAATATTAAGAAATTTATTCGAACGTTATTAATAATTGAAAAAGATTATTAATATTAAAATATTTCCTTTTAATTAAAATTAACATTTAACTTAAATTGTAATATTAATTAACACAGAAAATAAAAATAAATTAATTTACAAAAATTGAATATTTCTTAAATTAAAAATTAATTTTCTTAATTATTAAGTTTCTTAATTATATTTCTTAAATAATATGTTAGTGTAAATTTTGTGTTAACATGTTTCATGACAATCATTAATTTTGAATTCAACATTATGCTTCTGTTCCCTGGCGTAAGAATAGTTAATACCTCTGTCAGCGTTCAAAGTCATTTTTTAATACAGTTTTAGTTATAAATAAGGTACCGAATAAGGAAATCGCCCTATTATTTTCGTGAATGTTAGCAACAGGGTCGAATGTAAGCAAAGAATCTTATTTTGTGATAAAAACAAAGTCAAGTTCGAAGGAAGTTTGGGATGGATGGGAAGATCCATTTATGGATAAGAAGACACGTTTCTCCGTAATTTATCACTACTAGAAATGACAAAATCTATACCAAGAAATCGATTGTATATTCAACGCAGTGTCACGTGTCGCCAAGCACTGCGCCCCGACGCAATGTGCAAGGTCATCGACTGCCCTCGTGATGTCTGCGGACGACCGTTGGCGTGGTCCTGGCTACGAGATTATCGCGTCTCCTCGCTCACGAGAATGCGTTCTCGTTGCACGAGATCCTCTTGGGCGCCATTCCCGTTCAGCCTTCCTCGCTTACGAGAACAAGAGAGAATATTCGGCAAATTACCGCGTTTATTGACTACTCAAATCATTCACTTGCTACAGTAGTGTAGCTACAAGAAACAGATTTTCTGCCGAAAATGCACGCTTTTCCGGCGCACGATTACATAACTTCTCTTCTTACGAGGTAAGTGCGAGAAAGTCGATCGTCGCATGACATTAAATAAAGTTTTTTAAATAGTTATGAAACACGTAAATATTTTTCTAAAACCGAATTTGAAGCACCACTGTGTGACAATATTAGTCAGTTTATCAAATGAATGAAAACCTTTCATTCCAAATTGTCTTACGTTAACTTATATTCTCCAATTTAAGAATGATTTGACAAAATGGACATCTATATGTTCTAAAATTCATCTTTGCAACTTACCACCTGAAAAATTATTAACATAACTTGTATTTTCTTTATTTCCAGATGTCGCCCATTTCTTCCACCAGACTCGGAAAGTTCTGAAAAGATTGACTACACAGCCAAGAAATTTCCTTGACTGTCTCCAAGAGGGGTCGTTGTTTCTGCATATTCTCCACTTTGTGTAAGGAGAAACAGCGTGCTTTCTTGCTCGTGATATATAAATTAAATTCTGATAACTGTTTGTCGCAAGGACCATCAAAGAGACGTTAAAAACCTGTTACCAGTAGTCAATGTGTCAATGTAACTCCATTCTAAATAAAAAGCACTGTGGGATACCTCCTTTACACACCTGTGAAAAAAATACAATTGTATGAACTTTTCTTACTACAGAAATGATTCATCATAACATTCCTATAATATTTTGCCATATGTATCATAAATCCATCTTACATGAATTTCTAGTCTTGTTTTAATTTTTTAATAACCTATACTTTCAATTTCTTTGCCTTAACATCATGCGCTTCAATACTTTATTTTTGAATTTAGATTTGAATGATTTATGGTTGAAGATTTCTAAATCAAATATTTTGAGAATCTTACTACATATACAATTTTGGGATTTTTTTGAAATTACCATGGTTTTTGGAAATTAAAAGTTTATTAACATTTTTAATTACTATTATTTGCTGAAAAATGAAAGGATAGAAGGGGAACATAAATATTTATGAGAGTTAATTGATTTGAAATTGGCTTCAACATTTTTAAATAAAATTGGTTTCTCTCAAATTCTTTCTTGTGTGCCTGATTTAGTACATGTTTATTTTGGAAACTTGTGTGATTGCCTATGTATTGGCAGTTTGTTTAGTTTAGTTTCTAAGTGAATTTACATAATCTTTCCGTTTAATTTTGTTGGGCAATGTTGATAATGAAGTTTTTCAAGACACTTTAATTGAGTTGTGTCTCGTTTATCACTCATTATGCATCGAAAGAGAGGTGGTGAACACATTGTGTCAACCAAAGGGTTAAAAATTGTCTAGATATTAATTTATTAGTATGTAACAAAAAATCATCCAATTAAACAAATTCAAATCTAAACGACAATCAAACCTTACATTGTGTTCGTAATGTAACGTCTCAATCGTCAGAGAGTTACAGATCCGTCTTCTTGGAGAAATGAGTCTCTGACCAACGTGATTAATAATTTAATGACTACACTTACAGCTTCACAAGATGTATTTACTTCTCCAAACACTAGGAAGTTATGTTGCTAATATATTTATCAAATCACGCAAACTGTTGCCTAAAACCCACAGCTCGTGGAACCGAGTCTAGTCTACACGGCCTCTGGAAAAATTCTGCTCATCCAGGGTCTTCTGACATGGTACCCCGTTGATAGGTGGAGACTAAATGACAATAATAACCCACTACGTTGCAATAACAATTTCAACTGATATTTTAAGCAATTATAGTAATTAACAAGTTTATAAAGAACAGGATAATTGAACGAGAAACGAACCTCAAGAAAACGAGCGACGATAGAATGTGTTCATAACTATCACGAGTGTAATTATACCCCTTTATCAATGTGTTACGTTCAATGTTTTTTTTCGTTTCCTTTTAAGAATAATTTTAATTTTGGGAAATTCAAGCACATCTGTACCATTCGAGGCATACATTTGATGACGTATTGATTCTGAAAAATATATATTTTAGTAGACCTTGCATTATGTTTGCAAGAAATATTTACAAAGGGATGATACATAACACATTGCAGATAAAATATTAGAACAAGTTGACAAAGTCATAAAAACATTACGTCTAACGAAAAGTAAAGAAAGGTATGAGACAATACATGAATAAATATTGGTATAAGTAGTTGTTGTAGGTACTTATCTGTGATGTGAATTTTGTTAATGTTTCATGACCGACCGGGAATTCATTGGCTAGTCTATGTTATAGTTTCTTAAATAAATGATTTGGCCCCTTTTCTGAATTCTGATTGCTAGTTTTATTGTCGCGGTGGAATTGTAATTGCACAGAGATAATCAACGATTTTTCGTGGAATTAACGAACATATTCAGTTAACTAAACGAAAAATTAAAATAAATTTAAAACAATTTTGGAAAGTTCTCTAAAACTGTCGCTAGCACCGAATATTTGTTCCACACAATATGAGATCTTTCGTTCTGATTTGAGAGAATTTTGATAACATTTGTATTCTATAATATAGATTGTCTTTAGGAAAATTAGGTTTCACTACTCTTGCAGCTTGTACAAATTTATTGAACGAAATCTCTTCACCTCTGAATCAAAATAGTTTTTGAAAACGACAAATACAACTGTAATGAAAATGTATCATTTTGTTTCTGATTAATTTTTGTTAAGTTGGAAGAGAGAGATATTAGCATTAATATTTTCTGTGATTTACATCTTCTTTTTAAATTACGTTATACCTGAAATAACTCGGAGATAATACAGAGTAAACCCGGAGACCTAAAACTCCGAAGTCCGAAGTCTGGATCAAGCCCGAAGAGGTGGCTCTTTCATCTTTTCCCCTCTTGCTCGCCGGGGTAAAAGAGTTTTACGGCTCACATGGATGACGCGACTTTCAACGAAGCACCTTCTTCCTGAATCCTAACCGTGATGTAATATTTACTTGAATTTTCAGTGGATGTCTTGCGGTTAGTTCGGTGTTCTGAGTAAAGATATTAAATATCCTGTTGGAAGAGAAAGCTGATAACAATATTATCATGACAACATGCTTACGTGAGGTGATGTCGTTCTACTAGTTTTTCTAGAAGTATTAGTATGCAATATATCAGGATTTGTTTGGTACCTGAAGAGATTCTGAAATGTCAATTATTTTTTCACATAATTACGTGAAATAATCATTTTCGCTATTTAAGTATAAGCAATAGAATGCAAAATCGCAGTTATATGACAAGGTTAGGGGGAGGGTTGCCATCTGCCCTCCTTTTGTACGACATATCCATTTTGAAATTGTCTTCCTGTTCTTCATCCTTTTTTAAATTTACATGGAATATCCTCTGATTGTCCTGTTGAATTGAAGATATTACTGGCTTTTAAAGTAATTTAATTCATTAAAGGAACTTCATGCCTTGAACATCTACATTTTTACTCAAACAAGTGGTCTGCATAATAGATCATGAGGCTTATTATGATATAAAACTTATTTATGCTTATTGTTTGGAGGATAATGAAGGTGAGCGCGGAGGCGAAGTTGTTCAATCGGAAGCTTTCATTTTCCTTCTTCTTCTTCTGCACTTCAGGGATTGGCCGCTGCCTGTTCCTTCTTCACATATCAAACCATCTTCTGCGTGGTCTTCCTACACTTTTGCTTCCTGTTGGGTTGTACAGCAGTACTTGTTTAGGTAGCCTATTGTGCTCCATTCGTTCTAAATGTTTTTTCCAGTCTTATTTGTATAGTTGTATACAATCATTTAGAATAAATATATTTAATTCATTTCTTTCATTTTTAGTAACGCAATTGTTAAAGACATAGTCTATATATCGTACAGTATAAAAATGTGAAATGTTCTCCTATTCATTGAAATATCCTCCATTTTAAAGTAAAATGTCCTCCATTGGAAAAATAATTTCTGGTAACCCTGGTTAGGGCGGGGGGGGTGAAATAACCCGGAGATAATAAATAATAAAGAGTAAAGATTCATATGCATAATATGATGAAAGGAAATTGTTTTCTACTCGCTAGTTTAAAAGTTATGAATATTTGATAGATTTGAATAGTCTATCGCAGAGTGTACTTGGGCGGTTGGATTTTTTTTTGTTGAAACATTTTTAGCGGAAGTTGAATAGCACCTAATTAAAGAGTATATCAACAAATAGAGTGTAGGATTATGAAAAGTTAGTTTAAAAGAAACTGTGTTCTGCTCGTTAGTTTTAAAATTATAACGATATTAATGGATTGCATAGAGTTGAATGGTGTTTCAGCTAGTAAGTTTAGTAAGTTTTTACAATAATAAATATTAATAATTATTAATAACATTAGCAAATCAGGTATATACACCTCTCGCGCATGTGCTTCTGCCTTTGATTTCCAGCGGGTACTCTATTTGTTTTTTATTAGTGACGCAATTGACACTAATAGAATTGATAACAGTTGAGAAATGAGACGTCTTAAAAAATCCGAGCCTCTAGATTTGCCTCACAGACTTTGAAGTGCAGTTGCACGTGTAATCAACGATATTGATGGAGAGACACTAACGAGTAATTTCTTCGTTCACTACTAATTATCTAGTCACTAAATTTATATTATTGTTCTCATGTATAAACAGATTGTAAGTAAACTTTTAATAATATAAAATATATTGCGGCAATATTAAAAGGAAAATGTATATTTCTATCGCATGACAAGATATTTTCTTGATTACCTGGGTGTTGTTGAACCATGCAGCCAAAGCATTAGCCGCCACTGCTCAAGTGAACTTTTCTATTATGAACATTGCAACACAATCACGTGCAAACGAGGTGACATATTAGTAATCAAATAACTTTTTTCTGAGCATATGTGTGTAAATTGGCCTCAAATTTCAATGCAGTCCTCGACAAAGGTCACAGAACAGATACCAATTCTGATGCCCTTGCAGTCGGAAAGTCATTTTAAGCGACTTGGCAATGCTCTTGATATGTAACTGCGTGGAAACGACCTACAACACCTCCGACCTTTCAGGCATCTCTTATCTACAAAAACAACACCAATATAAATAGTTCAAATGATTTTTACTTCAACGCATCACATTTTTACTTCGAATGCAATCAAAACACAGTTCCATTTTGATAAAAAGTAACTTCATATTAAAAGATTGCGTCATTCGTAAAAAATAGATTTTTAAACCCTGACAACCATGTTTCCAGGTGTGTTTGTAGTTTTCCACGATTTAAATTTACTGAATGAATAAAAATGGTTCAATGATTCAAAATATTTGTGTAAAATAATTTTGGCGAGAAGTGATTTGTGCATGTGCAACTTACAAAGTATTAGTAAAAAGAAACGTCCACCTTGAACATTCTCTGAAGGTTCGTGATATTAAGATGATATTTTCACCAAACGATTCGACATACAGATGCTTATCAGTTGTATTTATTAGCTTCTTGATAGCATTTTTTATTTTAAATTATTGGATTGATGTCGTTTTTTAATGGAATACAATTCTTTTATAGGTAAGGTCTTGCAAAGGTCTTGTAAGGTCTTGTGAAAACAAATCCAGCAATACTACATGCGTTGCCGTTTGATTATTTTTTTCCTATGACTTTCATCCAGCCCTCAGCTCTCGTTGGGTCGCGCATACTCGACTACAATCTAGGCACCAACACCCTTGCGGGCTCCTTTGATCTGGGGTCAGCAGAACGCGAGACCCTAAGCTACATCTCACACATGGGGGACAAGGAACAACCTACCACGCTCAAAGCGGAACTCGAACCCGCGACCCTTCGGACCGAAGCCCTTGAGTCGGTACACGTTCCGAGCCACCTCGACTAGTCAGGTTGGGTGATGAATATTGAATAGCACAAAAGAGTATGAAGTCCTGCGTCGTACGACAAGCAGGTGCTCTGAAGGAAGTCCATGGCGCGGCGCCGGGCAGCACAGAGTCGCCAAGCCACAGGGCGCAGGGCAAAGCAGTGATCTCGGTCGTGCTACATAGGTCGATTTCCCTTTCAAGAAACTTTCCGGATCTCGTATGTTATAGTCATTCACCTTTCGACCTGGCTTGTCAGCTCGGTCGAATCACTCACTAGCTGGAGAACTCTAGTGGCCGGCTACTCTGATTCACATACGTTTTTGCATATATGACGAGATTAGGTTTTCACAGAAGAGACAGCAGGAGAAACATAATCACTGTTATTCTACCAATTCAATTTATACATTTATATACCTACCTCTTCTCTTTTGTAGGGGTCAACTTTTCAAGCCGCATTGTTTGTTGTAATAACTTCTTTTGAAAATATGTATTATTTTTAGACTACACATGCTCATCAACTATATATTTAGTTTCCTTTTGTGCGACACATTTATTTTTATACGGTATGGAGACATTAAAATGCACATTT